AGTGTTGGAGTGCTAGCCAACAGCAGCGCAAGTGTTAAGTAGTGATGTCACAATGTTACGGAAATAAAAATGGATTACAATCGAGGCGTTCCAGGCAGGCAGGGAGGGAGTTTGTGTGAGAGAAAGTCCCTCTGGAGGTAACTTTAATATTGCAGCCTTTTCAGAGCATTTATATGCACACAAACCTATATAACACTACAGGAAATCGAAATCCCCAAAAAGCTTAATAGGGCCCCTTTAGCTATTTCAACAGTATTTTCATTACTCACTCTGTAAAAGTACCCACACTAAACAGGCCTCTTGTTTATGTTCCTTATCAACAGAAATATCTGGACTGGATATACACTGGTCAGCCATACAATTATGACCACCTGCCTATTATTGTGTAGGACCCCCTTTTGCGGCCAAAACAGCCCTGACCCGTCGAGGCATGGACTCCACTAGACCTCTGAAGGTGTGCTGTGGTGTCTGGTACCAAGACGTTAGCAGCAGATCCTTTAAGTCCTCCAAGTCCTGTAGTTGCGAGTTGGGGCCTCCACCCTGACTGGTCTGCGGCTACTTTCTAACAGAACCAGCCTTAACTGTTTCAGTAAATTGAGCTACAGCAGCTCTTCTGTTGGATCGGACCACATCGGCCAGCCTTTGCTCCCTACGTGCATTAATGAGCCTTGGCCGCCTATGTCCCTGTCGTACTGACCACTGCAGACCGGGAACACCCCACAATAGCTGCAGTTTTGGAGATACACTGACCCAGTCGTCTAACCATCACAATTTGGCCCTTGTCAAAGTCACTCACATCCTTACGCTTGCCCATTTTTCCTGCTTCCAGCCCATCAGCTTTGAGGACAAAGTGTTCACTTGCTGCCTCACATATCCCACCCACTGACAGGTGCCATTCTAACGAGATAATCAATGTTTTTCACTTCACCTGTCAGTGGTCATAAAGTTATGGCTGATCGGTGTATATATATACTTTTCAGAATAACAATTCTTTATTAAAAGTCACTTTATAGCGTATTTACCCCCAGGGAGGGCATGTGTGTCTTATTTTACAGCACTGTGGACACATACAGGACATTATGGATTAAATGTACCTGTGATGTCAAAGTGAAGATGCCCTGATTCAGATCAGGCGCAGCTGTCTTTGAAAGAGGAGCTTAGTGTGCTGAGTGGCCTGCATCTGCATACTCATTCAGACAACTCCAGATTATTAGACTCTCCTTGCAGAGCATTACACATTGCTGTCAATCAGCGTCCTCTTCCCAAACCCCTCGCCGCCTCCGCCTCCTCTGTGTGCACTAAAACCAGGAGGAAATCATGTATTCATGAAACCCGGAATCTAAAACCAGTATTTCTGACTGATTCTGATTCACAGCGATGAGACGATATTATTAGACACACAACTATGCCCTAATGGGGCAACATTTTCATTCCCAATTTGAGATTGCAAACACAGCTCTCACTCTCATTTCCATAGCAGCTACAGTGTCTCAGCTGGGTAAGGTTATGGCTGTCACTTTTTGCAAACATTTGCAGAACACAGCTGTGTGACATTGTGGATCGGGTAGATGATACATTCTGTAGAAGGTTGGCTATTAGACAGTACACGTAATTACACACTTCTTTGACAAAGTGATGGAGTACCAAGTGTGAATCATGGAGTTTCATAAGCCCTCTTGAGCCCCGCTGCAGCTACATGGCAGATTTACACTGATAGTGTTTGTGAGAGATAATTAGACATTGAGTTATTACTGAACCACTGACAGCCATTCTGTTCTGAGGATCATGGATCAGCTCATCGGTCTGATGATGAGATTCTTGGAAACCGCTCAGTCCTTTGATGTAACCTGATGCAATGAATCCAGTTGCCCACAGTACAGCATTATACTTCAGCCATTTATTTTTAGACTTGATGCAACAGACTTTAATTCCCAAGTACGCCTGATCGTATACTTCTTCTATTATGCAACTCCAAAGTATCTTTTGTTAGATTTGTCTTACATGGTAAACGCCTGTGTTGCACCCATTACAATGGTTATATTATCATTGAGTGGCAATAGTCACCTGTATCTTGCAAATCTTTCGTTTCTGTTATTTATTAATAATCTCTAAATCCAGAGGAGATAACCCTGATCTCCCTTCAGATCATATCATACTACTGCTTTCACATCCTTATGGTGCGGGAGGAATTTAACTTAATGGGTCAAATTGCTGGTGTTGCTCTTTTTAATCAGACATTTTAAACACAAAGTTTTCCTGATGCTACAGTGATAGCAGTAGGAAACAAGTGAGTTATTCCTCTTTATCCCCGATGGACCATGAGAACACACTGAGGTTTATAAGTGAGTGCTTGCAGAATTATTCATGAGAACTGTTCTGGGAACAGTGACACAAATATGATTACCACACTGAAGACTGTAAACTGCATAAAGAATTGCATAACTTTTGGATGAAGTTATTTTAAAGGATAATGCAATCGGATATTGTATTCAATATAGTTTTTTCCCCCTATTGCCTAATGGAACTCCAGAAAAAACATCACTTTGCCTCTCTGTTGGACTGATATGTTTCTTTATTTCCAGAAACATGGGCATTGTTTTTATTTCTTGTCATTCTTTTGTACGCAGTCCTAGTTTAGCTTTTAGATAAAGGTCCCCCCTTATATCCGTAACAAACTTTTTGATAAGGGTCCTCCGTATTGTCCAGATACTACCCTTATATAAAAAGTTTACTTTTTAAAAAAGGGTCCCCCCTCATGTCCGGAAGGGACTTTTTCAATATGTTGAAATATTGGAAAAAGCATTCTATTTTAAAAAATCATGAAAAAAGTAATATATTTAATTGAAAAACTCATAGTATAGTATGTTGTAAAAATTGAAAAACAGTCATAGAAGTAGGTTGAAGAATATCATGCAAAAGTCAAGGTATGTCAACAATATTCAGAAACATTTATATAGAAGATGAACCTTTATTTTTTCCGTTTTCTAGTTTAGTTTGTAAAATAATATAAAAAAAGTATTTGAATAATGTCCAAAAGTTATAAAATGTTCTAAATAAGGTAGTATGGTATGAAAATAAATAGTCATAGCATAGTAATAAAAAAGTCATAGTATAGTATGTCGAAACACATGAAAAAAGTCTAAATATATATATATTTAAATATATAATGAAAAAAGTCCTAGCATGGCCTGTCAAAAAGAGTTATAGTAAAATATGAAAATAAATTCATAGTTTAGAATGTCAAAAAATATGAAAACAGTCAGAGTATAGAATGTCAAAGATGTTGTGCAAAAAGGCATGGTATGGAAAGTATTTTGAAAAAGTCACAGTAGACTATGTCTATACAAAATCTAACATGATCTCAGATATCTTTACCCTATAAATACATCCGTTTCAAAATTCAATCCATTTTCAGCAGTGAGCTTTTCAACAAGTTGTTGTTGCCATAAGAATATTACAGGCGTGATAAATAATCCAAAGCTTGCAGGCGATGAGGGAGACAGTGAGTGAGCCATGTCGCTCTTCACACAAAAGCTATTCTGTTTTGCTCTCAAACAGAACTCAGACTCTGTGGGTGGAGAAAATCAATCTCAACCTAGAGAGAGAAGGAATGAGAACCGTGAGAGGCTTTGATTATGGTGATGGACCTATGTCAGCTCTGCGAAAGCCACTTCATACGTCTTCGCTGTTTATCGAATCACAAATGTATTTGCATCTCAACTTTGTATGCACTCCTGGCTGCTTGAAGGAAATGAGTGAAGGCCCACTGGTCCCTCAGACTAACAAGAATTTTACATTTTGATGAATAGAAGACTTTTTTTTAATTAATTGAATTGCAGCTGTCAAGAGGAGGAGCTTCAGTGAGTCCACAGAGCTGTCTGTGACAGATAGCCTCTGTCCGCCAGGCTGAGGAAAGACAACAGTATTAACAGAAGCAGCAGATAAAACAGGATTTAGATTTCCTGTGTGATGTATTTCAGACTTTCAGTATAACTCCAAACAAATCCTTTTTTCAACCAGCCCCTGTGAGTGCTTAGTCAAGGTTCCTCTGGGGCCGTATTCTGCTCATTTTCAGGTTCATATTTGTGTTTTGTATCTCTACTGTGACATGTTTACATGTTCAAAAAGCTCTTTATTTTTCTCAAACTGCCTGTGCTGCAGCACCTCTTTTCACCCTCTGTCTGAAACCAGAGCCAAGTCTGCTCTGATTGGTTAGCTGGCAGGCTCTGTTGTGATTGGTCAACCCGCCCCTATGAGAGCAGTATTGCTTTTCTTTTCTAACCCTTGGAAAGAAACCCAAGAGTACTGTTTTGGGTGTTTTTATTGTTTTGTTAATAAAGCCGATCACGTTGAATGTGCTGGAGCACTAGCCAATAGAAGCGCAATTGTTACGTAGTGATGTCACCATGTTGCATTGTTGGAGGAGCTCGGGTCATAAGATTTTCATTGCCATTTCTACACTGTAGCTTATGTGCATATGACATTCAAACCTTTGAATCTTGAACTACTGTACACAGGAAAGAAGTATAATAGTGCTTCTTTAGCATGTGGCTGGGAATTGTGTACTAGGTAGTACCTGTACTTTTCAGCAAGAAGTTGCAAAAGTATTGGTTGCCTGGAAAAGTAAACACATGGATCTGGTGCAACAGAAGAAGGATTATGATTACAAATACTGCAAATAATGATGGCTTAATGTTTAGCAATGGTGGGGCCATGTGTGTATATTAATTAAATACATGTGATTCCAACTAAGCCTTGAGGTCCAGTGTAGGATTTAGCCTATAAATACTTTAACAAACAGCTACTTTTTGTCAGTCACATTTTGAGTTTCAGTTACACCAGTGTGCTCAGTAGATGGTGCTGCTTATCTCTGGAAAAAGGGTGCCTCTGTTCCCCATCACATCACACATATTCAGTTCAAATCATGAAAACAAAATCAGCCATGATGCCACAGAGTTGTGACAATTTTAGAAGTCAGAAAAGCCTACAGGTTATCTCTGATGTTTATTTGTATATACATATATACATATTTTTAATATGTGCAAAAGAAGTTCTTAACTGCAGCAGGGTCTACACATAGCGTCACTGAGTCTCCCTAATAAAATACAAGGGATGCAAAGAGCTGTGTTGAATCTGAACCAAATGGAAACGCAGTCTGCTACGAACATCAACAGTATTCATATACAGCCGAGCATAATCAGCACGAACACTGCTTTGCATATAATACCGGCTGGTTACATAAGAAGCAGACACTTGAGTTGCAGTTTCTTTTCTTCAGGATTGGCACTCTGGCGGCTTAATGATTAAGGATACTCAAATCACACGTCACACATTCGAGACATCTTATTCCAAACACCCAGATTTTACTCAGCTCCAGATAAACCATTTCTGTTTGGAAGCATAAAAAAAAACTAAAAAACATTTATATGCACATGAAAAGAAAGCCTTTTAAGCTCTGTTGACATCTGGTTATTTTTTCATTTTCAGAAAACCAAACATAATACCAAGGTAAGATGTTTTCTTTTGAAATGTATTTCTTCCACTGACTGCACAGCTACAATTGGATACAAAAAGTGACAACATGTGAAGGATGCCATCCAGCACACAAAGAGAAAGGCAACATTTAGGGCTGCTTTGCGGTTTTGGTTCCGCTGTATGCAGTCAAAGCAGAATTCAAAAGCTCAAGTTTTTGTTGTAACATGAACATTCTGCAATGTGTGATGAGGTTTTTGGTAAATGTGTATATCTGTATAACTGTATTAGCACACGTTTGGTGGAGTGTGTGGGGGTAGGATGTGAGTGAGGTCAGTCGTTTTGGCTGGAGTGTGGCTCAGGACTGGCCTCTGCTGGGGCTTCAGGCTCCTGATGCATTTGGCTGAGGTGTTTGACCAGGCTCTCCAGTTGAGGGTTTCCCCCAAACCCCTGGATGAGGCGGTACACCTCTATCTCCAGGTCGCGCAGTGTCTGTCGGGTGTAGGCGAAAGAGCCCACCTTCTCCAGGTAGTCCACACAGTAGCGTTTTATGTCCATGTTCTCCGTGCGCTGCCTCAGGATGTTCTGCACCTGTGTGCTCTCGGGACGTGACCAAATGGCATGAATGGTTGGGAAAGAGAACTTGCCCTCGGTGAGGTCCTCGCAGAAGCTCTTGTTCTCGCTGTACTCGCGAGAGCTCAGGTTGGCGTAATCGTCGCGGATCTGGAAGAAGAGGCCCAGTGTGTCCAGGAGGGGCTTCAGGTCCTGTTTCCAGTCTGAGAAGATCTGCATCAGGCCCACGGCCAGGCCAAACAGCCCTCCAGTCTTCTGAAGCACCATGTTGCGGTACTCCTGCTCCGTGGGACAGGTGTAGGTGTCCCTCCAGTGGATGTCCAGGCCCTGGCCGCGGTGCAGCTCCAGCAGCTGCCTGGTGAACACTGGGACAGCCTCAGGGTGCTCCAGGGTCAGCACCTTCTCCAGGCCCAGGAAGTACACATAGTTGGCTGAGTTGATGACGGAGGGGATGCCGTAGATGCTGTGGGCCACTGGGAAGCCTCTCCGCAGCGTGGAGCTGTCCTCGATGTCGTCTATGAGCAAGCTGGCGTTGTGCAGCATCTCCGTCACCTCGATGATCCCCTGAGCAGGACACAAACACACCAACATTTGAGAATCATTGTGTAATCAAATCAACTTTACCATATTAATATAATTCATTTTTTTTGTATCTTCTCACTTTCAGGAACTGTTACAATAGAGTACCACAGTGACGTGTCCTAACACCCGGAAGTAAGCTGCGCATGGGTTCCTTCCACAAAAAAGCAATGCAATTTATCCATAGGATTTTGGAAAATAGCTCGAAATAAGGTCTGTGGTTGACACACATTTAAGAGACGGATCACGTTTTGTTCAGTCGGATAATCTCCACATGTCTACCCTACTTTTATCATTTTCTAATCATAAATCTAACCGATAGATTTATGATTCGAAAACTGAGAACACTTTCTACATCAACTCTTGACCAGTAACAGGTTCTCAGGAACTTTCTGTGTGAATGATGCACTACAACATGTTTACAGCAGATGGTGCCATGTCTACACTGTTGCCTGAACTGATGTAGTTGGAGTGAGCAGACATAACTGTTGTTACTGAAACAAACCAGGCAGTCAGTCACAGAGAATGAAGACTTACGCTCCAGACTGGAGCCGCTTCAGATTCTACTCTAAAAAGAATACAATAAATGTGTCTAAGAGAGGGCAGCGGTGGCTTTGAGGGGTTAGAGGACATTATTCACATGGTTAAGCAGCGACAAGTGACACTACATGACTTAGCGCAGGTTTAACTCTTAAGATAAACAGATGTGTACTGGTACGTATCCTTAGAAATACAAGCTCTAACAGCTTCAATACAGTATGACTCTCAATGGAGAAGTTAGTAAACGTCCCCTGTCCATCAGGTGGATGCCTTTCCTGATAACAGAACATATCTGTCTGCTGTCCTGAGCTGGCTGTGCAGCCTGCCTGAGTGCTGGGCTGATTTAAAGACAAGTGGTGTGGCTGGTAGTGAAAGCTGTTTGTGTGGGGCTGGGGAGCACAAAGAGGGGCTCAGTGGGTCAGGCAGATGGCCAGAGAGCAGTTTATCTGCCAAACACAACCTTTCCTTCGGCAGGAACCCGGACACTCGCTCACCCTGCAACCTCAGTGTGCCACTTACAAGAGCAGGGGGGTTGTGGGTAATAGCTACAATGAATGCACACATGGAGAAAATGGAACATACAGACTGTTGTCTCTATGAATAACTATTCAATGGCTATTCAATATATCACGTGTTGTATAACAGTAATTATCAAACTCACAAGCACCAGAAATTAGATTCAAAGTGTCTTCATGAAAACAAATTAGTCAGAATGTCGCTGTATAATGCAGCCATTTAAGTGCAGAGTGCCTTCACTACTCGGCGAGACTTCATTGATTAGCAGCAGAGGTTACTGACGCAGAAACTCATCCTGTTTGCCAAGGCAACAATCAGTGATCCATTATGAAATCAGTACTTCACAACAAACAAGTGCGCTGAGTCCAATATATTGAGAGAAAATAACTCTGAAGACTGAGAGGTCAGTTATGTGTGACCTGTCTCTCTGTGGTTAGCGCCGACAGTAATACCTCTGAGTCAGACTGCAGGCGTGATGAAGTCAGCCAAGGTTTTAACATGGTCACATGATCACACAGCACGCCTACTTGTGTGTGTCATTCAAAAATGCTTCCTCGTTCATCTAGAGCAGAAAGCTTAGTGTGCAAATGTATTTCCAAATGTACGGCAGGTGTGCTAGTACAGATATCTGTAACCAAAGTATGATCATAATCTGGGATTGTTATCTTGTGTGTTTTGAATGTTGTCTGTTGCTGCTGTGTATCTGCCAATTGTTTTCCTCAATGATCTTGTATTATTTCAAATGCTGTGTGGGTAAGCAAATTTCCCACAATGTAGATAATGAAGCTTGTAAATGATTAACTCATTTACGATACAGAGCTGTCCTGCAGTGTTTTATAGACACCTACTCATCTGACACAAACACTACCGCCATGGTGTCATTTCTTTTTTCATTTTTATGAGTGTGGCTACTACTTAGGCTGTCAGTATTAAATAGATCAAGAGATGAGATGTGTCAAACTACTGCTGTGAAACCAATTCCCGGGGAAACCCTTGCATGATTAAACTCTCCGGCAGTTTAGAGTTGCTCTGTATCATATTTGTATGCTTATCGCAATCCAGTTCCTCGTTACCTTCTCACGGAGGCAGCTTCATTATAGTCACTATGCATCAGTCACACAATTTAAACCCACAAGAAGCTCGAAGCCCGAGGCAGGAGACAGTCTCATGAATGACACGTTTTCAAAAAAAAATAGAAGACAGCTTACTTTTCCTACACTATCACAGAGAACAGGAGGAAGCCTCAAGGTCACCACTCAGCAGAGGGAATTTCCCAAACCTCCAGCACCTACTCTGTGCTACACTGTAGAGAAGCACAGACTGTATGGGGGTTTGATTAAAAATGCATTGCCAAATGAACGAGAGTGTGCCACTGTCATCGCCTCCATCTATCTATAGGCATGGTTGTTTCCATGGCGGCGACTTGTTGGCAGCGGTGTGCTAATGACGACGAGAGGAGAGCTCTTCGCCTGCATGATGGGTTCAGGAGGAGTTTACAGAGCTGCTACATGAAGTGCAAAGGGGAGAGCCAGAGGGAGACAGTTCTCTGATATGCCTTTGTTTACAATCTGCATATGAACGTAGGCCATATGAATTGCCAGCTGGCTTCAACTCAACAGATCCAGACCTGTTCAAATACAAAACTCTAAAGCAACGTGTCACTGTAGCCTCAAGGAGCAAATGTAAACATGGATTCAAAATGTCAGCACTTATTCATTCGAAGACATGCAACCCAGCGTAGCAGTGTGAAAGCTGTGATTACATATATATCTACTGACTCAAATTGTAAGATGGATGATTTGTTATATTTAATAATTACTCAGAAGAGACTGACAACTGTATTACTCAGAAACATCGTTTTTTTGGTTTATTAAATTGAGGCTTGATACATCATTACATTAGGGGAGGACTTTTATTATGCACTGGGAGATGAAACTACTACAGGAGACAACAGCGCGACCTCTGCTGAAGGATTAGGATTCCTCTTCATGGGGAGGGCTTATAAAAAATGCAGGACGAAGGGAGACCTGTTGAACACGAAATCTAATGACACCGGACAGGCTGAACACTTAGCATTCTGCACAGTGAAGGGCATGCACATTAATAAAATACAAGTTATATATTTTCCTCCCTGGACACTGGATAATATTCAGTTCAATACTTCAGAAGTGTTCACTTGAATTGACCTGGTCTCCCTACTCCCTGCTCAATACAACCAATAAAGCCTAAATGGCTAATTTGAAATTAATCTTGACAGAGGAAAGGCCAATCAGCTCGCGATCTTTACACACACTTCAATATGTCTGTTGCGATCTAATCAGACAGGATCCTAGAATGTGTGACCAAAACACTGTAATGGATGGAGACGTATGTTTGCTTGGGAAGCTGTTTGTGACCTGAACCATGCTTTGATCAGGAACACATGAAGTTGAAACAAGTCATCTCTAAATGCTGCCAGATGATTCTAAAATATTTGACTGCATCATCTAGAATATACAGTACGCTACAGTACAACAATAAGCTACAATGGCCTTAACAGTTTAATTCCAGAAGCAGAAACTAACACTGGTTTAGCTGCTCTCCTTAACTTTGTTCATGTTCAACAGCATATGCCATAAATAATTGGTGTCTATAATATAAAATCTAGGAAAGTGAAGATTATTCAAAAGGAGCTTAGCACTGCGTTAAGTTGTTTTAGTTATACATTTGAAAAGAAAATGAATTAATTAAAATTGAATATGGAAGTGTTTAAGGTCTTAGAACATTAGGATGTCATATAAGATGGTTGCTCTATTATGTCTTAAAATTGTTTTGGGTTGAAACCATTTGTTACACAGATTTGGTACTGAATTTGACCACTGTGAAATTGACCAAAAAGGTTAAGATTCCATCAAATAAAATGCCTCCAACTTTTTGATTTGTGATTTTAGTAAGAAGTGCATTTTTTCTAAAAAGCCATACTTCCTCTGAATACCCTGGGGGTCTTTAGTTTGTGCTTGTAAAGTTTCATGAGACTGTGATTTCCGAAATGACACATGTCATTTTATACAATGAGGTCATCTTAAATGAATAGTCTCACTACAATGAAAGGGCTAGTTTGAAAACCAACATCATCACACATTGAATCAACAAGAGCCTCAGCTTCCCAGTCATACTCAATTTATAAAATTCCAAGACTGTTCTGGATTCCCATGAATTAAATCTGACAGCTGATTACTATCAATTTAGTATTTGACTTTTTCAATCAAACTGCAAAAAAAAGGTACCAATCTGACTTTAGGAAACTGAACAGGTATAACCAAACAGCAAATAGAAGCTGATACAAATACAAATACAGTAAAGTAGAGTATATGAGGCCCTTCACATTGTTGCAGCAAAGCCTTTATATTCAGAAATGACTTTTAAAATCATATTACAAACAGTCAAAACACAAGTCACAGTCCAGGCAAAACCCCTCATGACAGGCAATCCACAACTATGTTTAGAATTCAAATGAAGAAACGACAGTATGAAAACATAAAATTCGTCAAAATCCTGTGTCCTTTTTTTAAAAGGTCTGATTGTTTCATGCTTCCGTTGTATAGTAATTAATTTGTGTTACTTCTTTAAAAGTAATTTTGAGAGGTGTTGATGTTGAAATGATTGTTAATGTGCTACTACTGCGCTACTTGAAAGGAGTCCCGAGACACCTTGATATGAAACAATAGGTGCAACAGCTGCTTTGTCATAGAGTTTATAATTAACAATACAAAGCAAAGAGCTAGCAGGACTTTATTGGAGCAGTTGTCTGAAGGATACTGCATTTAAGAATGAAAATACATTACTGACCCTTTCAGTGAACAATATTATCTATAGTTGTTTTCTGCATTGTAATTTGTTACGGCCATATTTTCTTTGTAAAAATCTGCTAAATCTGCAGCTCTACTAAGCTCTTGCCAACTTCTAGCGTCTTGACCTGATTTAAGGCACTTGTCTTTACAGCACAGTTCAGTCTCACTTCAGTCTTAAACTAGTTTGCCACAGCAGCAAAGCATGTCGAAATATTCAGAAGACAACCTGTGCATTCCTAAACCAGACAGACTTAGCAACTATCTGAACATCTAGCAAGTGAGAACATGTAGCAAGCACTGTATGAGGGCAAACTAAATGCATCCAACGTAAACAAGTCATGATATCAGCAATAAGGGAAAGCTGCAGATCAAAAAGTAGAGAAAAGGATAACTTTTCAAAGCACAGCCAACCTTTTTAATTTCATTCCACTTGAGTCTCAGCTGGATTAACAACATGGTGTAATACATTATGGATGCTCTAAGATCTACATCCAAGCTTTACATTTACATGCTGTAAAGAAACAACACTCTGGTTGCATTACAACATAAATTACCTTGAATAAGCACTCCGTCATTTTACATTCTTAAAGCATTCTATGACTACAGATGACTTTGAATGTGAATGTTAAAAGGCTCCAACGGTTGATTCCTCACCTGCAGTTTGTCCTCTGGAACATTGAGCCAGTGGTTAAATGCTTGGGATAGTTTTGTCCTCACCTGTTTTCCTGAGGAGAGAGCGGAAAACAAAAGTTATGGTTTCAAACTTAAAGAAAGGGTAGCTTTTAAATGCATCTTTCACATTACTTCTGTTACAAATCATTAGCTCCCTGTGCTTTCCTTACTTACATGTATTTCTTCTAGTCCCTATGTCTGTGATCATTGATAATGCACACTTTGTTGAAGGTGGCAGGTAGCTACATATCCCAAGAGATACCAAACTTAAAAAGGAAAATGACATGTTTATTTATAAATAATTTTGAGTTCAACATTAAGGTTGGCTTGAGCACAAATACTTTGTTTAGGCAGCAGTTAGGAGGGGATGTGACCGGAGAAGTCGAAATGGTCTGAATGAAACACAGGAAGTTTTCTGTTGTTCAAAGACCAGGCTTAAAGCTGCTTTTTCTTTCTTCTCTGTTGGGAAGCTGTTTCCAGCTGAGTGCTCGCAGCCACACTCCAAACAGGGCCGGTCAAGTATATTTTTAAATCCAACATATAGATATTTTAGCCCAAAACTATGAAAAAGACCCTGGTTCAAAACACAATATTGCAAAATTTCTTTAATGAAAATGTTTCTTGCCAGACATTAAATATATGTTTCCTTATGAGCTTTAAGGACAGTGACACTGCTAAAAAGGAAACATCCCAGCCAACAGAAACCCGAAGGACCTGTCCTATTTACCCAAAATGTGATTCTGGCGTTAGGTTAGTCACTTTTCTACTTGCAAAAAATAAATACAGACGGTCTCCCAAAGAGCAGCTGAGGAGCGCTTGGTCAAGACAGAAAGAATTGATGTTAAAAACCCATTTGGAAGAGTCTTAACAGCAATGCGTGTCTCCAGAAATCCTGACCTTCTTACCCAGGATAATCCATAGTCCTTATTTTGAGCAATTTCATGTATAAACTATTTTCTCCTGCATTAAAAAAATCATAATTGGCTTTATATATCCGCCGCCCTTCTTTCAAAATCATTGGCCACATAAAATCCCATAGGTACGAAGTAGAAGAAATAAAATACAATACTACATAACTGCTCACAACAAGGTCTATGGATTATCTAGAGCAGTGCTTCTCAACCTGTGGTACACGGAATCTGACACATACATTTTTTTTTTTTTTAATTATTTAATTTTTTTTATTGTATTTAACCTTTATTTAACCAGATGAAAACATTGAGACACAATCTAATTTACAATGCTGACCTGGCCAAGAAGGCAGCAACGTTACATGTTCTTACACATAACACAGACATAGAAAATACAGAAAACACAACTAAGTAAACAAAAAGATGAAAAGCAGTCACTACATTGTGCACATTTGGGACAGTAAGGTGCACTACTTATTACTGCAAGAGCAGCTGGTGGTAGGACCTCAGACAACTTTAATTTAAAACAGGCTATAGGGACAAGTGCCATCAGTTTGAGGCTTGATTGAATAACATTAATTACAAAATAAATCATACTATCAAAATACTACAACGAATGAAAATAAGCTTGAGATAATTTAAACTGTGGTTTAAATAAGTTCTAATTGTTGTTTTTAGATTTAGAAACGAAAACATGTTTTTTATTTATTTCTGGCGTTGCTAATGACGACCATACTACCCGCGAACGATTAGCGAACGTTGCAAGCAAGCTAAAGAAAGAAGAAAGCTGAATGATGTTAAAAACGTGGCTCAAAACGGGAGGTATTCGGAAAAGAGGTACAGAGGAGAATATTACCAGCAAAAGGGAACAAGTGAATGAGGAGAAGGACAGTCATCAACCGAGCACAAGCGCAGGCTCCGCCAGCAACGCAAAAGTGATATGCACAGCCACAACGCTGTGATGGAGGAGAGAAGTGACTCAGGAAGAAGGCATTTGCTGAAAGAATGGAAAGAAGGCTGTGACCGAGGTCAAAAGCTGAAAAAGCACACACTTGTCCTTAATTGTTATATTTTTTCTTTTCTTTTTTACTTTGCCACCACAGAAATGGCAATAGCAAACATCAGCAGACTGAAGATGAGCTATTAGCCCTTAGGCTCATCTGCTCCTGGAGGCTTTCATTATTATTGTGGAACTGAATTCCCAAGAGGACATTTTCTGTTACAATGTAGGTTGTTGCAGGAGGCCTACATTCAAACTTTGGTACAGGAAATGACATGTATGTACAGTTGTCATTTGTTGTGTGAGAACAAGTTATTATTTTGTTCTTTATGTTCTCACTTGTGGTGTGTGAGTGATGAGTGAGAGAGAGAGAGACTGCACTTTGTACATGTAGCTGTGGCTGACAATAAATAATGTTATTATGAATACATTTGCCTCCGAGTCCTGCATGAACTGTGCATAGACTGTATTTTAACATTGGTCATATGGTGGTACTTGGAGAGCCAACTATTTTCTCAGGTGGTACTTGGTGTAAAAAGGTTGAGAACCACTGCTCTAAGCTATGAAGACATACATATTTTCCACCAGTACGCGTACCAGGTTGAGAACCACTGCTCTATACAATAAGCACATTAAGCGGCACCTCTTAAAAAAACAAAGCTAGGTGTTAGGATCAACCAGATAAACATCTCTCATCTTATGCAGCGTGCAGTTTGTGTCTATCTGGTTGTACACCCAAGCCTTTCATCCCATCAGTTATTGTATACATGTTGGTGAGGCCATTATCCAGTGCCACTAACAAGAAGAAAGCAGTTGAGGGCTCAGTGAAGCTCTAAAACCGATGACCACATAGCTGCATGTCTGCATACAAATATCTTCCACAACTATGCATTCACTGACATGGACACTCACCTGGTAGTTGCAACAAGTACTTGTAGGGTTCCAGCAGAATTCGCTCAGATGTGGCTTCTGAGTCGCAATCCATTGCTTGAAGTTTTCACAAATCTATATTGGAGTACAAGGCACATAGAAAAGTTAATAATCGGGACACTATTTAGCTCTAAAAGTAAAAAGGCTTTGTGCAAGTCCAAAATCACACTAGAGTCAAAGAAGAGGGAGGGATGCCTGTGGTGTGTTCATGTTGGATTACTTTCTCAGCAGTACACTTAAAGCTGGCTTTTAACTGACAGATAGAAGAAGTGTTGAGTGGACAGAATCATAGGGGAAGAAGTTGCAGACTCAAAGACCCGTGGTGCAACTGACAGAGGTATAACTGCAAAATGCTGCAACCATTTTATAGCATTATACACAAGAACTGGGTAGGTATTATTCATGAGTGATACTTTTAGGTTGTGTGTTTAATAGATGTTTATGAGTATGTGAGATTGTGTATGTCTAGAATCTTAGTATGAAACAAATAAATCAAATCAAATCAAGTTTTATTTATATAGCACATTTTTAAACGATTTTTGGTCGAGCCAAAGTGCTGTACATATAATAAAAAATACCCTACAGTAAAGACACTTTACAGCAAATACAACAGCACAGTTTGTTCAGAATATCAGTTTGAGAAAAACGACACCCTCTGTCCTTAAATAGGCCTGTATTTGCACACTATTACAGTATGAAAACACTGGACGCTACCATGCCATATGTATAACTAATACTATGCAGTTCTGAAGACAAAACATTCTTGATGAATTTATTTAACATTATTTGTAATTCGTTCTTGTGTTTTTTTTTTTTTTGGGCCTGCTTTTTGTTTTATTTACGCAATGCTTCATCTGTTCTTGCAATTCAAATGTTCTAACAGCTCAAGTATTCCTAAAAACTGAAGCTGTTCATCATGCTTGCTGTCAGGTTTTGCAGATTCCAGCAGAGCTGAGGTTGACCGAGTTACCATAGTTACGCGTCTCCAACTGGCAATGAGGCTTCATAGGAAGTGCCTGGTAATTACAGCACAGTGTGTCCGAACAGATGTACATGACTGTTTTCTGACACCAAAGTATGTAGGGTTAACAATAGTACACATGTTGAGTATGTAGTGCATATTATAGGATTTCGGACACATCCTTAGTCTTTTAACCTTTTTTTTTTTTTACAAATAATTGTCCTTTAAATAAGCACATGAATGAAAAGAAGAAATGCAAAACTATGTTTTGTATGTGCTGTTTGAAAGGTAAGGGTTTTAAACATGCTCTATGTCATATGAACCGAATAGTGCACAGCCATAAATAATATCTATGTGTGCATGGTGAGTGACATGTTAATCACATGATTGGATTATTTAAAACAAAGAAAATACTGGAAAGTTATAGGAACTGATGAGTGATGTGGCAATCAAAATAGAAACATAACTAGTGATCATTAAAGAAAAACATCTTCTCAAACTTTACAAAATGTCAGCAGCATTGCATTTCCATCAGAGACTGTGCATTATATAAAAAATACCAAATCTCTTATCACATTATATTATTTACTCTTCATTGTTTTTGAAAATCTGACACCCTAGCATAAAGATGGTTTCAATAGGTACTGTACTATCTAACACAGGCCTGCAAATTACATCAGTGTATTGTATAATTGCACACTGGAAAACATAAAAAGTAAATACACTGTTGTATCCTCATTTTGTCTCCTCAAGTGCCTTACTAGAACTATAATAATATCAGAATTATCCACTTGATATGCCAATTAACTTTAAAACAAAACCATTACTCAGTTCAATTCTATATATTCAATCATTTAACTCTGAATTATTATGATATTGCGTTTCAACGAAAAAGCCATATATAGAATTGAAGAAGCTGCAACATTTTTAGGAAGAACAAGTTTACCAAAAGTTATTCCATCTTTTTGAAAATGTTTTAATGGAAACTTGACTGACCATATTAAAGAAATTAAAATGACACAGTAACCTCAATTACACATAAACAGAAGTGTTTGAAAAATAAAATGCTACTAGGGTTGTTAACTCCACCCACCTTTGCTGCTCCCTGTCAGTCTGCTGACTGGTTTCCTGTTAGCCAGGATGCTAGTTAGCTGGAATTAGCAGGCTAACATAAACGCGCCGGTAAACAAACGTTGAGCATTTCTTTCTTTCTTTATCAAAAATAAAAACGTCCACATCAACGCAAGTCGACTCATACACACGACGTGACTGTCACAAGCACGCTTTCATATCATGTTTAGGTCCGTGTGATAATGGCTTATTCACCGGATGCTATGCTAGGCTAATGGCGTTCTTGCTACGCACGGTGTGGAGACCCTTCACATGACAAGCTAGTTTCGATTAGCAACCTATATATGCTTCGGCGTCAGAGCAGGCGCAGAGAAGGTGGGGGCTGCAACAATATGGGTTCTTCGCACATAGATGTGTTGACGTTTTATTTGTACATCGCCCAGTAAAATCTCCAGCTAGGGGGAAATGAAAATACGCACATACATCTACTCGGCACCATCAGTAACATATATCAAACATACATGTTCTTGAAAATTGGTTTTGTAGTTTTTAGTCGTTTTTGAGTCGCTGTGTATTGTGAGAACGACCCAGTAGGATTACTTCGTACACCTTACCATGGGTATTTTTCTCTAAGATCAGCCAATCACGTGCTGCTAAGGCGTTTCCCTTCGCTGTGCAATCCAATAGACAAGCGTACATTTGTGAGAGGCGGGGTTAATGTGCCCGTCACTCATCCTCAGGAGGCGGGGGAGAGGGATCACAGAAAGAGCTAGGCTAGAGGAGCTACTCAACAAGGCAAACAGCAGCGCTCTGCGAAAACGACTTTTACCCATCCACATCCAACATCAACTAGGGGCCAACGGACGACGTTAAAATCCGTCTGATTTATTACATAAATGTTCCTATGGATTACTAATTCACTTTCGTCGAAAAACAGAGGTGTTTCTCAATTTGACAGCATAGGTAAGACTGCTTTTGTTCGGCAAGCTATCGTTATTTTGAACATTTAACTAGCTTGCTTCCCCACTGCTACCAATCCAACCTTGACGTAAGCTAACTTGTTAACTAAAGCTGTGATGTGTTTGAGGGATCTTGGGGAATGAATGAATTTAGCGACTGGATAGCAAAAAAGATGACTGCCGAGATTACACAATAAAAACTTGGTCAGCTCGATAACAAAGTTATTCTGTAGCCATCCAAATTAAGACGATGAGCACAGTGAGAGGTTATGCTACTGGACAAGCATCGGAGTGTTGTGTTGTGGAGGAATCCTTGTCGTCGAGCGGCGCCTGTCATGGTGTTCACTAATAGCCGTCAAAAGTGATATTACATGAAACCATCGGCGACCTGAATAAGCTTGATATCGTTGCAGGGTGTGATTTGTCGATCAGCGACTAAACGGTGTACTTTAATAGGTAAATCGCATCGTCAGTGGTTTCTTTTGTGCCGCGAGTATGATTCTCTTATCACGATTGACTTTTCCAGTGTAGGTTGGACCAGATGGGATACCTTGTATCAAGGAACTCACCCATTTGATCAGTTAAATGACCAAATGCGATGTGGACTAATTTCCCTCTGCTGTAGAATACTTGTATCGATGCTGTGTGTGTGCGTGCGTGACCAGTATTTTGCACATTTCCGTAACTGGCAACATCCCCGCTGACAAACTGTCTGGACAGAAGAGGTTTAAATGGGCTCGAAGCTTTAGTTAAACATGCAACCAGGTTTTAGGGCAGGAGGGAAGACTATGGAGGCTCGGGCTATTTGTGTGTATTGTTTTGGTGGTGGTCTATCTTTCACTTGCAGCGGCTGGTTGAGCAAATTGTCTGGGGCGGATGACATTGTATCCTCCGCGATCCTTCACCGCGACCAAGAGCCACACATGAGGGCTGCGACCTTGTCTTCTGTTAAAAACAATAACATGTTGAAGGTAATAAATGCATTGTTGCTGCGTTACACGTCTTATTTGAGCTTGACCTTGTTGCGAACCGTTTCGTCGACTTGTTTCTTTGTCAGACGCAACCTTACTCAGTGAACAGTCAGCGAAATGCCAGACCAGCCGATAAAGAGAACATTTTGTGAAGAGAGAAAGTGACTTTAAGAATGGCTGCACGGCTGCTTCTTACTTTATTCAACTCAACGCTGCTATTAGGACACACGTTTAACGGGACATATCTATTGCGGGGTGGTTAAGTCGCGAGTGTTATTATCGCTTTATATTCGCTGTCTAGTGCACTCTCCGCAGAGAGCACCGAGACAAGAGGGAGAAGCGAAAACAAAAATGAACGGTCACGGGGCAGTTTTTCAGTAAATACCAAGATATTCGTCTCCGAAACAGTAATGGCTCTAGTCGGGGCAGGTGAATGGCGACCACCGGTCCCGCAGTTTCCAGTGTTTCAGTGAAGTGTTCTCCTTTTTAGCCGACTGTCAGCTACAGAAATGGCGTCATCCTCTGATGTAGAGTCAGTGCAGTGCAGACAGCGGGCACACCACGCTGCCGTACTGAAAGACCCGTGCAACGTGCAGCTTTTTACCGTGTACCACTTTATACTTAACGGCTTCTTTATGCGTGCATTTGTGCAGAGCACTAGTTACTTTGTGTTTCACCCTTCTTTGCCACAAGCCAAGTCTGGCTGCTGACTACAGTACACCAGGCATTACATACACGGCTTTTATGGCTCTGCGAATGAGAGCGAACAGCCTGTCACGGTTTACTTTGCAACGAAGATATTTTTTGGAAATGTGTCCCAAAGCTCAAGCACACATAGCATTAGTCCCGTGCATTAGTCGGGATTATTTAAGCAAACTTTTCTTAAATCAATTGCACCCTCACTCTAGAATGAAACCCACAATCCCTAAATGGAGAATTGGATGTGCAGACGATGTTTGTCTAAGCAGTGTAAAGTGTGTATCTTCCGACCAGCTTTTACATGGCATCCAGCAGTGTAGCAGAAAAAGTGATGTCATCATAACATAACCGTGTCTTGTCATGGCAGACTGAAGTTGGCACTGTCTGTAATGTCTAACATCTCCTTCAACCTCTGTTTTCATCCTCAGATTCGTTACGCTGGGCACCTAGAGGACTCGTAGAGAGATGAAGGTATGTTCATTCATTTTCTTGCATGTGTTGAATGCCACTGGAAACTCAATGAGAGCACACCCACTTCTGAAATGTAGTATACATGTTTTATATGCATGGCCTAATTATTTTATTCTCATGAATAAGTCTAGTGAGATATTTTACTAAATGTCAATTGTAACACATTTAAACACAGTCAGGCAAGTGTCTTGGAAAAAGACCAAAGTAATATATTTATTTGATAAGCATAATATTGAGTTTTCGTTGGCACCTGCTGTATTTGCAAACACAAATTGGGAATTGTGATGTTGTCATACTCTGTTATGTAATGTTATTGAGTTGGATGCTGACATAGGGTCTGAATGTGTTGTACTTTAAGTGAATATTGTTTTTTTAAACTGCATTATAGGGTGTCTGAACGAAATTCAAGCTTAAGTGGGTATGACGCTATTTCTATATGAATGGCGGAATAAATGAACTGTGAAATATAGACAATGTATAACAGCTCTGGTATTGTTTAGCTCCAGCTCTATTCAATTTCAAAGTGACACAGCTGTCACTGTTTGGGGAATAGGTTGTGATGCAAGCTACTGTATTTCATCTTTTTTTTTTTATAGTTTCAATGGATCATAGTTGTGGCTGTTGTTATGCCTGCAGGCTGTTGTGTATTAACTCGTAATTTGTTGTCATGTGAGCCCTACATAGTCATAACCTGCAAGGTTGTTTCACCTTTAAATTGAACATATGACATACAGAAACGTGTGTTTTTGGTGGATGTTTATAGTATACTGAATAGTGTGCATTAACAGGATAATGAGGAAACCTTTTGAAAAATAAGATCCAATTGGGATTAGAAGGTTAGTGGTGGAGAAATTAGAAGCTGGTTTGGGAATGATTTGTATACTTGCCATTTAAGTCAAAATGATGTAATGCTTATTGTGGTTAGTCAAACTATAACCACAATAAGCTTAACATAACCAACTAGTAGCAGTTTTATCCTATAAAATGCAATGTGATTATGTAATAAATTGTTTGTGTCACAGATAGTCAATGAAGTTAAGACTGTCATGACTAGAAAATGCATTCCCGGCAGACACAGATTGTATACAAAAAACAATGGGATTAGCATAAAGCATATAACCCAATCCACACCGTAGGGTAGCTTTGCTGCTTAATTTGTAACATGTGTCTACTTTAAAAAAGGCTTTAACTCTATGTGAAAATTCATGAAACTGTTGTTGTGTGTGCCCAGGACAATTTTTCAGATATTATTCTCTTGAACTGGATAGCAGTGTAAGCTGTTATTAGATGATTATATTGCTTACACTTGCTTATTCTCAAAACTGCCGATAGGACTGGCGTGTTCCCATTGATATTTCTGGTTTGATGTTGTAGCCTTTGCTGTTTTCATTGTGCTCTGAGTCATCTGGATCTATTAGTGCTTGAGGAGTGTTCACTTATTTTACAGCTCTGTATATTAAGAGCATCTGCTCACTGCCTTAACTGTAAATTGCTCTGTAACGAGGACGACTTTTCATTAGCATTTCATGTCACTCTGGCTCATGCTCCACAGCCTTTCTGCATCTACTTCACACGCTGCTTTAACTGTGGACTGGAAGAAACACTTTAAACATTAGACATCCTTAAACTTAATTATCATTTTAATAATTTAAAATAATTTCTGGGGTTATTAATGAACTTAATCTGCAAATATAATGTAAACACTTTGCTGAAATTATTATACATATACTTGTTGTATTCCAAGTAATCTAGTGGATGACATTGCAATATGTCAATGATTAGGTAACCTAGACAAGATTCTACATATTCTTAAAACTCACTATCAGCATTCAAAGCCCCATGTAAATATTTTACTGTGTCATATTTAATCATAGTCTGATAGTGTGCACCATTCATCTACTCCATCAATTTATTAATAACATAATAGAACAGTCAAGTTTATGCTAAGATTTCCTAAACTTTACCATAATACCTGAAACATTGACTAACCTATGTTGAAGTGCCAATCCACCTTTTTTTACAATTGTATTTTGCCCTACGATATAGGATGTGTAAACCGAGGCCTGCATACGTTACAAACTGGAGGTGTAGGAATTGAGCGTTCCGGAGGCATGGGAGGTCTCGTGAAAAAAGCTATTGAGTTGCATTTTTGGAAATAAATGATTCAGCATTTTAAGTGTCATTATATGTCTGCCTCTGCTGCTACGATTTGGATCATTCTGTTTTAAATCTGTCTCATGGTGAGACCCCCAACTTTATGAGAGCCCAGTACTAAATTGCTGTAATACACTTTTTATCTGCAGTTGGCAGTCCAAAGTTGTTCTATGGCGTGTCGAAGCGCACAGCTTTTGATCAAAGCTGTCGGTATGAAAATTGCTTTGCTGTGAGAAGGAAATGTGTTTAGTCGAGTTATTCCTGCATTAAGACGAGTTAACAGCATGTGATGATGTGGTACTTTCGAAGCATTGGGGAAGAGCAGGTCAGGTGCAGAGGACTGCTCCAGTTTCCATGCCTGGGAACCAAGTAGTTTGTCAAACTAATAACTTCAGATATCTAAAGTGTGAAGTCTGATTTGTGAGTGTGTCAGCATGACTATTTGTAGAGCTGTGAAATTATTTAGTTGTTTAGGAACAAGGGCATTTTTGCAGTCTGACTTGTGTTTATTGTTGGAAGTGGAACCTTAACATTTCATCAGCACATTCTTAAAAAAAGAAAAGAAGATTGCGAGTAAGAGACTGCTACACATCATTTAAAAAAATACAAATAGGGGAGAAAAGATATACATTTTGAAATTGTCAATCATTTCCAGTCAAGCAATGTTCCTGGATTTAGCAGATTTTTAAAACATTCTTAAAGTTGTTTATATGTTTTGATATTGCAGGAAGACCATACTAAATCTTTGGGTTCAAGTGTGTGAACATAAGGTTTGAAATAGTTTAAAGCTACAATGGCATTGCCAAGGTACCTCCTGCTGAAGCGTCAGTCACCGGAATAGTGGTGACTCTGGTTTGGACAAAGAGGTGATTCACAGCGGGATTATTGTACGTGTGAGCTAGGCCGGGAGGGAGCTTAATTCTTTCCTGCATGCCTCTTGTATGTTCCTTTGTTCGGCCTACAAGCCTATTCATTATAGCACAATATAATGGGTCAGAAACTACTGCTTATAATATTTCAGTTATCCTGATAAATGCCTGAATAGTATGTTAAATAAATGTGCAATTTGGTATGCTAATGCAGACATCAATACACTGTTATTCTCAGACTGAAAACCAATGATTTGCTAGATTGAAATGAAGTGCACATGATTTGATTAAGGTATTTATTTGTTATGTCATCCTGTTTCCTCCACCCTCGCCCAGCTGAATACAAACCAGTTTATGTTGCTAGTAGGGATGTCCCGATCACCTTTTTTTGCTCCCGATCCGATTCCGATCATTTGATTTTGACAATCTGCCGATACCGATTTTTCCCGATCCGATCTTTATGCAATGCATTAAGAGGAAAAAAAAGGTAACAGATAACGGCTGGTCATCCAACGCGATGAATTCAGCTATCTTGGCTGTTCTGGGGTAGTTTCTCTTTCCTTTTAAAAGTCTCTGAAAGTGTCGGTTGTTTCAGTGCCGTTACCTGAGTGGCCGCTGTGTACTCGTCGTGTTGTTGTTGGTGGTGTTTGTATTAGATTGGTCATGTTGGACGTAGCTCTGTTCTTTCCACCACGCGGAACCTCCGCCTTGCAAACATTGCATCTGGCTGTTACACTGCCTTCGCTTTCAATTTTATAATACTTCCAAACTCCTGACATTTTCTCTGTCCCGACTCCCGAGTCACCAGCTGAACGTAGCCTCTTGTTAGCTTACTGCTACTATTAGACACTGCGCCCACTCTGTTGCCAGATTTGAGAGAAATAAGCAACCAGGTCTATGAAAACAAGCCCAAAAGAAGCAACACATACATGATGTTGTGTAATTTTAACCCAAAACTAAGGCCTCAGGATGACTTTAAGACGTGAACATGGTCATTTTTGTTTTGTAACATTAAATAAAATGTATAAAATATTTTATAAAAAAAAAAAAAAAAAAAAAATCCGATCCCCGATTTTTTTCTCCCGATCCCCGATCACGTGAAAATCACGTGATCGGCTCCGATCCCCGATCACGTGATCGGATCGGGACATCCCTAGTTGCTAGCATGATCTTGCGCTGTTGTGTTACTTAAACACACCAACAAGCAATAGTGACACATCATCCTCACAACAACAAGCGTGTCATAATAGCTTTCAGAAGGTACTCAATCTGGATTATATCCTTGGCAGTTGCAACAGTAGTAGTAATACTAGGATATCTGTTAGGTGAATTGTTATAATAACAAAATAACTGAAAACTGTTCTTAAGTGGAAAACCCATTTGGTAATTGAATTGTCACGTTGGCTGTAGTTGAGGTGAATGAGCAGAGACTGATGCAAGTGTGTCTTCTTAATACATTGGCAATGGGTATCTGCATACTTCCATGGTCCAGCCTCCCAGAAACAGCCTGTGGTCTGTTGAGCAGATGACCAGGGATTCCTCGAGCCCCTCCCTAATCATGAATGATATTAACTGAATTGCAAATCACACATGACAATGACATCACCCCACAAATAGAGTGCCATTAGTGTTTATTCTCCTGTGCGGCTTTTACCTTCAGAGTTGTAGAATGAAATGGCAATACTCCCCGAGGCTGTCAAAGAAATGCACTATAAGCAACAGCAGCTTGTTTTCAACTAGCGCTCTGTGGAGTTGGCTGGTCAATTTTTCATGACCTGAGAGTCTTTATTGAGCAGAAACTGATCTCATTCTGCTGTTGCCAGCGTAACCCCAGTGTATTTTGTTTTTAAAAGATTTCAAAGCTTAATGTAGCAGCATTGCCTGTTTTGTTCCCTGACTAGAAAGATTTAAATACTTGTTTAGTCGTTTCTGATTGTTCCTCCTGTGGAGAGGGGAAAAAGCTTTTGTGTGTGGCAT